CCTCCCCCGTACTGCCCGCCCTTACGGCTAGTCGGCTCCTCGCCTCCCGGCCCGGATCTAGCTGTGGGAAATATGAGAAATAGAAATCCGGATCCAACATAGACTCTACCACCTGGCTTCAGAATCAGCTGGAAAGAGTAGAAATTAGCCAAATAGACCAGGGAACAACACGGAATAACACGCAAGGAAAGTTGGTCTGTTGAAGGAATTCAGGCAAATTGTAGCAGATGCACTCCCCTGGCATGTTATCTGTCTCAAGTTTGGCCAATTTCTACTCTTTGGAGCCGCTTCTTAAGCCTGGTGGTAGATCACGGTTGAACCATTCTTTGCCCAGTAATCAGAACTGTTCCAGTTTCTTCGCAAACGGTTTGCGTAAAAAATATCTATCTGTATGAACATATAAAGTTTGCCATCATAATATAGCCTCTACCAGGTTTCAGAATGGGCTGGAAAGAATAGAAATTGGCCAAATTTTGGAAGGTCCTGTAGCAGACCAACTCCTCTGGCAAAGTTTTCTGTCTGGTGTGTAGCTATTTGGCCTCTGAAGCCCGATAGAGGCTAATAATCATACTCACCAGCACCAATATTGCCGAACTCGGACCCGCATGATGACCCCCCGCTGCTGCCGCCTCCCCCACAGAACGGGTGAGTGGAGGATCCCGGCACCAGCCCGCCTCCGCCTCCTGACGTCTGCCCCGCAGCTCCTGCGCCTGCGCTACACCCGCCGCCAACCCCGCCCTGTCCTCCGTCCGCCACCGTCCCCTTCCCGCCTTCCCCGCCTGGGGACAGGTCAAACAAGTTTCAACTTCATAATGAAAACTAGAAAGGTAACATTTGCAAAGCAAAAAGAATTTGACTCACTGGAATTTTGAACCGAATTTCTCGGTCTTCATCAGCTATATCACACAAGTGCTGTAGACGCAGGGTCAAAGTTTGTCGGAAGTTGGTAACGCCCCCCGTCCCGGTTGAGAGAAGTTTGGTGTGCCCTGATGTAGATGGCTTTCTTCACTCCTCTTTCAAAATAGTCACTTGGTTCTGATAGCTGATGAAGACTGAGAGATTCGGATGGAAATTCCGATGATTCAAATTCTTTTAGAGTTGGAGATACTATGTTGCCAATTTGATATTGCATTGCAATGATCAAAACATCTGCTTGGAGATTATAACTTACCGGAGTTGTCCGCTTTGGCGCCTTTCCCTCCCTCGGCGCTCAGGTACCGTCCGAAAGAGGAATTCCCGCCGTCCCCGCCGTACGGGTACGCCCCCAGGATCTCGGCATGGTTGTCTCGCCCCCCTCCCCCACCGCCGATACAGATGACGTCAACGGCGCGAACCCCGTCGGGAACAACAAATACCCCGGATGTGGTGAACTTCACTTGCCCCTTGGGACCTGCGTTACACAAAAACATGTGATCAGCATGGCAGGTAATAAAAACACTACCATGGCGAAGGTTACTACTTTAATGTTTAGTTTTAATCATCTATTGATGGCTTTGTTATGTGACATATGCTTGTGGTTGACAACGAGCTATGACAAATACCCTACAGAGAAAAACTAACACAGTGAAGGCAATGTTTGAGAGTCAAAGTTAAGAAACCAGTGTGCTCTTCGTGTATGAGAAATGATAACGACGTGACTGACCATCGCTATCCAGAGTCGGTCGGCTTGGGTCTGGTTCTGGACCGGGTTCTGGTTCGGGTTCTGGACCGGGTTCTGGTTCTGGTTCGAACTCGGGTTCTGGACCGAGTTCTGGTTCGATCTCGGGTTCTGGTTCGGGTTCTGCTGGTTCTAACTCGGCTTCAGATTCGATCTCGGGTTCGGGTTCGGGTTCGGACCCGGGTTCTGGTTCTAACTCGGGTTCGGTCTCGGGTTCTACACGATCGGCACCTTCTTGGTCCTCGGGATTTGTCGCCGCAGTCCGACGGCACAGGCAGAGAGACGGGGACATGATCATCCCTGTAGTCACGTCAACAAGTGCGTGGAAGCATTGTAAACACTTAATTATAGACTTTGTATGGTCGGACATCTTGTTGATAGAACATCAAGTTTCGCGATTCGAGTGATCTTCGACTCCGCCCCTGGGGCGTCGCCAAAAATCTGCCGGCTTCAAATGCTGTTGGAAGTGAAATCTGACGAGAGTAGAGGCTTCATCTCCAGGCAGATGTTGGAAAAAAAGATCCTAATGTTTTGTTAATGCAATATGTCATTGACCTGTTTTTCTTACACATTTCTTTTCTGGTCGGCTGTACGCACTCCGTGCAACAGGATAATTTGTGTGCGTGAGTAAGGCCATGTTGATTTGATTATATGGATGACATCCTCTGGGAACCCCAAAACTGATGCGCGCGTGCGAATAAAAAAAAGTTTTGCAAAAAAAAAAGTTGCTTTCACTATGAAATCTACGTGGTCATGAAGGTTGAACAAATGGCAAAGAATATGTTATGGCGAATAATCTACTCTTCGAATTCATTTCTTTACATTTTTGTCTTTTTTCCTTTGATTTTGGCATTCTACGACATTGGTATCGTTTCTAAATGTTTTATGGTATATTTGTGCTCATTTAGCAACTGTTTTGCACGATTTACAGTATGGTTGAAACCTTTTTTTTTTTTTTGAAACGGTCGAAAATTCATGCGCGCGCGGATGTCATCCATATAATCAAATCAACATGGCCTAAGAGAGTGTTTTTTGACACAAAATACTTTGAATGGATAATTATGATCTTCCCTTCCAACATCTACTTCAATATTGCAGAAGACTCATCGTATCCAGAACCGTGTCTATCTAGTTCCATGCCTGAATCGGTAAAGTTTTAATATATAGGATCACCTATGCAACACGGCCACATCATGATGGCTATAGCTACTCTGTACAAGCACGCCCCCTACCTTGCGGTGCACAGTTGGGACAGCAGCGGGCCTCGCCGTTGGCGCTTCCCACGTAGCCCGAGGGGCAAGGGTCACACCGGGCCCCGGTCCAACACGGGACATAGTCCTCCCCAGACGGGAACTGGGCTGACAAAACAAAGTCCACTCTTGTACGTGAGTAGGGGAACGTTTCCGGTAGAATTACATGCAGAACTAGTCAATGACAGTTTATACGTTTAAGTACGCAAATGCCTTATCAATTTGTTGATTTATTGTTACCAATAGATACTCATGGTCTTGATGTGAATAAAAAAAGGTACATCTCTACCAGTGAAAGGTCTTGATGCTCTTTTTATGTAAATCACCGTGAACAGAATAATAACTTGTGACTGTCGTAAACAATGTTTGCCGTCACAAGTACAAAACAAGATCGTTCAAGGTAATGAACAGACTTTGATTAAAAGATACAAAAACAGGTTGTTTTCACCCACTGAATCTGCATTACTTAAAAATTCCGCGTTTTCTACACAACAGATACCATCCAGTGACATAAACATATTATTATCTACAGTAATCTACTTCGTGTTTGTGACTAGCCGTCTTATTACCTAATATGTTGTCACCAGTATTAGACAATAGCCCTTTAACTCACCTACTGATGATGACAGGCAGACGTAAGATATAACGGCTAGACCGAGAAGGAACTGGAGAGTCACATGCACCGCCATTGCTTCTTGTAGTATAGAACTGCCGCTATAGCTGGAAGCACTACCACAACTGCTGACGTCTCAACAAGACAGAAAATGAGGAACTTTCTGCGATACAAACAGGAAACCAGATATTAGAAGGCTTTCGTGAGAGAGTACCGGAAGTGGGAGCCGAGGCTGTCTCCTTGTCCTTCATAATACTATTCACAAACAAGTCAATGAGTAATAAGTGAGCGGTCAAAAGGTCATATTGAGTTTGCTGATTGCCCAATCCTGTTATGCAAACAGTGAAGTGTGTTCAAATTGTATGGTAGTGTTGTATCACTTTGACCAAGGATTTGCTTTCCCAAACAAACTCACCAGAACTAGTAGATGTAACGCTACTTGTAGAAGAGACAATCAAAATGCAGTTGTTTGGGAAGTTTGTTTTTCTACAGGGCATCTTTGATTGGTACCACAATCAGCAACATACGCCGTTGATAAAGTGTCAATCATTTTGTGTCTTCGCCACAAAAAGTGTCGTCAGAACTTTGCTTATTTAAACTTCTAGACATCTGCGGCCATCTGCCTGTAACAAAACAAGGAGGTTATTGTCTCCACTATAACCTCCTTGAACAAAATAAAACATAGCCTATTGCATGTAAAAGGTAATAAAACCGTTTAGAGTTAATGCATTTCTCATGGGAACTAAATATTATTCATCGCTTCCTACTACAATATGACTAGTTATTGATCAACATGTATCTCAAAACAATTGTACTGAACAACAAATATGTGGATTTTAGATCGTACTTTCAGCACTTTCAGCATAATACAGACGGGAGCTTACTTCTTTGCGTTCTGATGCGGTGTTGCAGACGACACTTGACAACGCATGCGCACTAGCTTTGATCACATTGCCGCCATTTTTAAAACATTCCAACCTACAGCTTCATCAAGTGCTGCACAAAGGGTCAAAGTAGCCAGTGCATCAGCGAATTTGGTGTATCCAGCGTATTCTTAGGTTTTAAAATCACCCCGTTTCCCTCGGGCTGTGAAGATTGTGCCATTTTCTTTCGGAGGAACTGTTTTACGCTGGCGCTACATGCACTGACGTCTTTTGACTCCACACTCTATCGTCGGACAAAACTCTAGTAGTAATTTTATAGTTATCGTCTGCGGTTGGTAGCTGTAAGGATAATGGCCCGGACGAAGCAACTGTCGAGGAAACGTGGCGGTCAGCACAGGCCAGCAGTGACGTTCTCTTCTCCTGTGAAACCGCCCTCACAACCCTGGCCGTCTGCTTTCGTCATGAATCAACAAAACGGACAACGCCAAGGTGGGAACGAACGTGTGGCTATAAAGTTCAAGAACGGACGTTCCTGCAATGAATTGGCATGCTATGACTGTTTTTGAGGCTATAGCAGTTCAGAAGGTAGATGAATTGGGCTGTGATGATATGAAAACACGAAATCATGGCAAAATCATATTGTTTTGGAACGTCCCGTACTAGATATAAAACCGTTTGCAAGCGGTCTCTCAGTTGCTTGATTGGTCGGATCAACACTTTGAGCACCCTGTGTTTCTAACAATGATTACCAAACCTTTTTTAGTTGGAGATTCTCTCAGTTTGTTCCCTTCATACCTTGCGGAGAAGGCGAAAGAGACTCGACAGCTAAAATAGGTTTGGTAACCAGTCTACAAAGACATACCAAGGATGTTTCATTTAAAATTTTCAAACTCATTGGAAATACGTACGGAATCGGCCATGTCATGAAATTCCCCATTTGTTTTACAGACTATCTATATTCGTTTCAGCTACAAAGGATAAGAATAAAAGCAGGAGGGCGACCCAAAGGCGTTTTCGTCCGGGATGCAAAGCTCTGAAAGAGATCCGCAAGTTCCAACACAGCACAGCCCTCCTCATTCCCAAGCTGAGCTTCCAGCGACTGGTCAGGGAGGTCGCCTGGCGGTTCAACACGGAACTGAAGTTTCAAGTCGACGCTCTTTTTGCCCTGCAAGTGAGTGCATGACCAATTTTATGTCCCAATTTTCCATGAATAAAAGTCAATGGCATTGCGTCCGTACATAATAATCTCCAAGCAGATTTTTGTGACTGCAAACAGTATCAGATTGGCCAACTCAAGAGACAGTTACAATTTGCCACAAGAACAGAAAAGATCAAGAAAGCCTTTAAAAAATGCATAAAACATGTCAAAAATAAGCCTAAGCCTAAAGCTCTGCTTGGAAAGTAGCGTGCTACATAATATTTAACAAAGAAGTGTACAATTCTTAGTGGGCAAGTACATCAGGTAAAAAATTGCGTTTTCTTCGAAGATTAAAACATTTTCTTTAAATGTCTTCAGGAAGCAGTAGAGGCCTACCTGGTGGGCTTGTTTGAGGACTTGAACCTGTGCGCCATCCACGCCAGGAGAGTCACCGTCATGCCCAGGGACATGCACCTGGCTCTGAGACTGCGTGGGGAGAGACTGTCAGGGTCACTCAGTGAAAACTGAATCTAGTTCTATGGCGATTTGACTTATTTTCAGTATAGTATGTCTAATGTTCTAGTTGTACACGAATTCAATCAAATAAATTGACTGTTGATGTTATTATATACTAGTATAAAAGCTGACTTAACTTCTGAGGCAATTTGACTTATCATAAGAATAATATATCAGAATGTTGTAGTTGTACACGAATTCAATTAATTAAATTGACCGTTAATTTATTATACACTAATATTTAAAGCTGACTTAAATCTAAGTAAGTAAGTCTACCACAGTAGTTCTGTTTTTACTTATTATCAGAATAATGTATCATAATATTCTATTTGTACATTCAATCAAGTAGGAGTTGTAATGTTGTACTAAAACTGTACATTTTTGACAAAGTATATGAACCCAAGACATGGCAAAAGAATTTTACATCTGAAAAATTTTTTAATACGTAATATAAGCCATTAATGTGTTATCCTTTACCTATACCTACTGTCCTAACTATACATGGAAATCTACGACTGCACAAACTGTAGTGGAAAACTGTGAAAAAAATTAAAACCAAGAAAACTGCGTTGAAGTTTCTGACTTCAAGGTCCCTTCAAGTTTGAAAGCAGCATTTCTTTTAGTCACAAATGTTCTTCACTATTAAAAGTGCTTTTGTATTTCGATTCACATTGTACTTCTTTGCGGTTCCCTACAATATTCTAGAAACCTTTGACTAGCTTTACTATGAAAGTTTACGACCATTACGTTGGACATTTTCTATGCAGCCCGATGACAAAAACTTGTCACCCCTCCGAAGTGAGTAGTTTCTTCCTGGATGAGCATGACGGGAAGAAATAGAAAATGGCGGCGTTCCGTCGAAGTGTGTGCGAAATTCTCCGGTCAAGTATATGCCCAAAAGTCGCTTCTCCACAAGTGACAAGGACAGGTTTGTGCTTAAGGACATGCTCAACGTCTGTGGGAAACAACACGCCAAAAGCTTACAAGTATTTTAGGGACAGCGGGATTGTTGTAGGGTGTTTTGCGTGGGGTTATGTCATCGGCAAGTTTGGAGCTCCGTACCTCTGGCCAAGCACGGATTCAGAAGAAGAGAAAAGTTCGATTGTGAAAAAGGTGGACGCCGCAGAGCCCTTTTATGGAGGCGAGGGGTACGGAGGGATACCGAGGTCCAAACAGTTTAACTTCATCGCTGATGTTGTGGAAATCGCGTCGCCGGCCGTGGTTTATATAGAAATCCAGGGAAAGTAAGTCAACACTTTACTTCCGGGTTCGAACTTGATTGATATTGACATGTCATGTAACGTTACATGTGTATATCGTATAATTTATGATTCTGCACAAGTATAACCATAGATTTAATTCCTCTTTATATGATGTATTTTTCACCATTACACATTACATTATTATGGACGTCACTGACGTTATTATATTCTAGACAGATTCAGGAATTCGAAGGCACTGTTGTGTAATCAGCTACAGCTTTTACCCCCATTAGTCATCATGCTATCTTTGGTAAGGCCATGTTGATTTGATTATATGGATGACATCCGCGCGCGCATGAATTTTCAGCCGTTTCCAAAAAAAAAAAAATTCAACCATACTGTAAATCGTACAAAACAGTTGCAAAATGAGCAAAAATATACCATAAGTTACAAAAAAAATTAATAAAAACTATACCAATGTCGTAGAATGCCAAAATTAAACGAAAAAAGAGGAAATTGTAAAGAAATGAACTTGAAGACAAGATTATTCGCCAAACCATATTCTGTGCCATTTGCTCAACCCTCATGACCACGTAGATTTCATAATGAAAAGAACTTTTTTTTTTGCAAAACTTTTTTTTTATTCGCACGCGCGCATCAGTTTTGGGGCTCCCGGAGGATGTCATCCATATAATCAAATCAACATGGCCTAACGTGCTTCACATATTGCGTCATATGTGTACGTACTAGTAGTGAGACCTGTTTATGTCCACTGATTGTCATCTAAATCTGTGAATGAAAGGGAAAATTCGTCACCTTTGTTTGATTTCAATAATCTTTATTTCACAACAATTTGAAAAATTGGATAATTTAGAAAGTGCAAGAATTACATAAAAATTTTTAACACTCTTGTATCATGAAAGAACCCCATGGCCAGCTCAGAAGACTACACAAATATATCCTTAGTGTCCATTTCCATTTCTATAGCCACGCAGTTGTGCAAGTTCTTTATAATAAGTAGTGGGCTAGTCCACAAGCTATAAATCTTTCATATATGTTGCTGGCCAGGAATGCATTCACAGGGGGTCGAGCTCCCACCTCTAACGGCTCTGGCTTTATCGTGCGAGAGGACGGCCTGGTGGTGACCACAAGCAAACAAACAAACAAACAAGCTGGTATTGTAAATCTGTGACTTTATTTTTACTCCCCAGGAATCCGTTCACAGGTGGTAGAGCCCCCACCTCTAACGGCTCTGGCTTCATCGTACGAGAGGACGGCCTTGTCCTGACCACAAAGCTGGTATTTTAAATCTGTGACTTTATTTTTACTCCCCAGGAATCCATTCACAGGGGGTCGAGCCCCCACCTCTAACGGCTCTGGCTTCATCGTACGAGAGGACGGTCTGGTGGTGACCAACGCTCATGTCGTGGCCAACAAGAGGTTTGTGAAGGTCCGACTGCAGGACGGGAGGCTGCTGGACGGAGCCGTGGTACTCGTGGATCAGGCTGCAGACATCGCAGCTGTCAAGATCCTCAACTGCAATGTATGGGATTCTATTATGAAAGTTTATCTGTGTTGGTAGTAGAGCTGTGTACCGGTACTGCGTACCGATACTGTACCGGTAAAATTGATTAGGTACAGGTCCAAAATACCTAATCCCTCAGTACCGGTACTGTACCTGAACAATTTCACACCAATTTTATGCCTATTTGTGACCTCAAATGTGTAAATAGCTGGTTAACAATGGGTCCCTGTGTAAGGACAGTGTGTTCATGAAAACAAAAACATATATATAGCCTATATTTTATCTGAGCATTCGCCATAAACAAAGAATAAACCTTAACTATCAAGTTTATTTATGTTTTTTTTTGTTATTGAAGGAGTTCAGAAGAGCATATAAATTGGTCGAATTGTTCAGGTACAGGTTCAGGTCCGGACCTGTACCTAAACCTGTGTACCTGTACCTGTACCTGTACCTAAAATTTGTTTAGGTACACAGCTCTAGTTGGTAGCAATCATTGTAAAAAGTTCATGTTGAACTTTATTCCAACACAACAGGCCACTGTCGCCTTCATCAGTACGTGTTTTTCTTTACTGCTAAGCGCAAAAGAGTATTGATTTGAGTGGTCATATTGTGGGTTTGTGTCTGTGTTTGTTGAAATAGCCTCAGATTCCATGGTGGGTGGGAGGTGATTTTTACAGTTGATTAATAGGGAGGTCACGGCTGATAGTGACCTGGCATGTGTCATGTTGGGCCGGGTGGTAGTAAGTGGGTGGTATGTGGAGGAATTCAGGAAGTGGTCAATAAAGAAAGAAAGAAATTACTACCTTAACATGTACAACAGTACAGACATAGAGAATTTATAATTACAGGTACCTACATGTACTTTAGAAAGCCACAGTGTAAAGCAATTAATCAACCATCCTCACATCTCTGTGCAGACGACACTGAAAACCGTGAAGCTGGGTAACTCGTCCACCCTGCGGCCGGGGGAGTGGGTGGTTGCCATGGGGAGCCCGCTGTCGCTTAGCAACACCATCACGGCGGGCGTGATCAGCTCGGTCCAGAGGGGCAGCCGTGAGCTGGGGCTCAGGCACAACGACATGGACTACATACAGACAGACGCTGCTATCAATGTAAGGAAAATGTGATGTTATATATACTTCAGGTCAAATTGTTCAATCCCATATTTGCAGAAATTGCAATTCCCAGTGCAATTACTTGTTAATTATAATACAGGTATGGAAGTATTGTTTTGGGTGGCTGAGTTGTGGGTTTGTGTGTATGTTTGTCCAAGTATCAATATGGCTGTGTGGAGGGTGGGAGGTGATTTGGACAGTTGATTGATAGGGAGGTCAAGTCTGAAGGTGACCGAGCACGTTCTGGGTAGGAGTAAGTAGTGGGTATGTGGAGGAATTCAGGAAGCTGTTGATGGATTGATGACGCCATACAACCCCTTCCACAGTTCAACTTATTACATCACAAAATCCCAAACACTTCAGTGTGATCTGTGAACTTGAAGGTCATGAAAATTCCAAATACTTCCTTGAAGTTATAAATCTCTGTTTTGTTGTTTCCCACAGTTCGGTAACTCAGGCGGCCCACTGGTGAACCTGGACGGGGAGGTCATTGGGGTCAACACCATGAAGGTCACGACCGGGATCTCCTTTGCTATTCCCATCGACAAGGTCAAGGACTTCTTGAAAAGTGTTGAAGAGAAGGAGAAAGGTAGTTATAGAATTATGATGCTATAGCTGTGGCATAATCCAGCACATATCTTCAGGAAAAAGTGCAATACCCAATTAAATTACATAAAACAATCTCCTCCACGGTTCCTAAAACACTTTATATAAGATCCTGAACATGACTCATGAGGATCATGAAAAACAAAATTACCGAAAATCTCAGTAATTTCTCGTTAGTCTGTAAATGTCTAATTTCTCATTCCTTAGATCATAACTAAATATCGTAGTGAAAGCTCATCTGTGTTGGTAGAATCCATAGTTGTAGAGTTTGTGTTGGAGCAAAGTTTGAACTCTGTAACTAGATGTCATTGAATTTTTGTACAACTGATTTCTAACTTAACTCTCCTCCCTAAAACTACAGCCCAGAAAGGCTGGTTCGGCCGGGGACAGGTGGCCCCTCCTGCGCCGCCCAAGAGGCGCTACCTTGGTGTAACCATGGTTACGCTGACACCCAACATCATCATGGAGCTGCAGGAGAGGAGAACAGACTTCCCTGACGTGAGGGCCGGAGTCCTGGTGCACAGGATCATCGTGGGATCGCCCGCTTACAGGTAAAGGCTAGGAAAAAAAATTTTGTGTTTCTTGTTTTCCAACCAACCCTGGAAAAAACTGCTGACCCTAGCCTTTGTTTGGGGTAAGCCCTAGCAGGGGGAAATTTTTTTAGCTGGTCAACCTTTTCTACATGTAGCTCCATGATCTGACACCTGTCAGAGAAGTTGTACAATTATACTTTCAGCTACGTTTGTCATTCTGTTTGTCAACAAGATAACTCAAAATATTGAAAAAAAAACTTTAGAAAAAAAAAAGATAATAATTTTGCACATTTTCATTCCAGTGCGGGTATTCGTCCTGGAGACGTCATCACCAGCATCAACGGTCGTCAGGTGACGTCTGCGCGAGACATTTACGACGCCGTGAACAGCGGACAGCAGCTGAAGATCACCTGTCACAGGGGGAGGACTGTGCATCATCTGCAGGTCACGCCTGAGGAGGCTGACTGAGGGTTTTTCGGGGGATATCTATCTACTGAAAATATTGTCCGTTACTAACTCCTAGTCGGAAGAAAGAATTTGATACACTCTGACTTCTTTTTTGTATTTGATGTGTTACTTTGATGTGCATGAAAGTGCTAGACAAATACTAGATATGTAAGTGAAAAGGGTCATGTTCTTGTACTTAACTGTGGCCAACTATTCAAGATTAAGTGTAAACTTAAAAGTAAATGTGTACAAGGACAAGCTGATTACTCCTACAGTACTGATGAATTAAGTACATCACGTTCAGTGACTTGACTGTCAGCTCAGGCAAATTTGCTGTAAATACAACTGTAAATATGTTGTGCTTGTCATTTTGTTGCAGCCTGCCAGTTTGTTTTGGTCTGAATTTCTTGTTCATGTTTACTGAATCAGCTTAAATATTCTTGAAGTATATTTTGATAACACATGAATTAAGCAAGATCATGGTGGCATCTCATTCATTCCAAATTAAGAAAACAAGCTTTGCCCAAGTACAAACTTTTCAAGCATATGCATTGAAAGCAGGCGAAGTCATTAACCAGTGACTTAATGCATGTATTATTGATTTTGGTTGCAAATGTTGCCATTTAAATGCATGAGAATTGTACCAACAGGGCCCCAGAAGTTGTTCATTAAAGAAACAATGTCATTCTTTGCTTGCTGTCCTTGGACTGCATTGCTAACGAAGCTTGTATTGATGATCCATTTAAGAGCTTTGTGTTGAGTGAAAAGGCGAAAAGTTTTTATCAGACTCCAGTAACTGTATTGTTGTCACAGTTGTCAAAGTTTTTACAGTTGATTAGCAGTTAGGCTCCTAGAATCCCCCTTTTGCCCAATCCTCAACAGAAAAATGTATTCTAAAACAAAATCAACACTATAACCTACCCCCTCCCCCCATGCTCAGAAAAGGGACACACGTGATTGTCAACATCTTTATTTTCACTTGACATAATACACATAAGGCACTCTGAGTGAACAAACTATAACATACCATAACTGACCCAGCACAGAGAAGTGCAGTAAGTACATTTGTACTCTTAAATAGAATTCATGGGAACAGCCTTTGCACAGTTTTGGTACAATACAGCTGATGGAACAGTGTATGCATTGCAACCTTTTTGAACAGATGATGGTAACAGTACTGTGAAATGCATGAAAAAGTAAACAGTTGCCTGCAGATTGTTTTAAGATGTAAAACTGTTTTATGATACTACATGTAACATACATTTTGTACATCTACTTCTTCATGTGGCCACATTATATCTCTTTGGCCTGCACTGCACCTGATTAAATATTACGTAACAAATATGACATACATAGTAATTTACATAAAGTATGATACGAACAATCAATTGTAACTGCAGAATATTTGAAAATGCTGGTAGCAGCCTAAAGGTACTAAGAATTTCATAGTGCAGAGACATGGTTTAAACTGTTACAGCTTCATCTATTACTGCCAATGAACCTCTTTGATGAATAACAACACTTACTATAAAAATGTCCCCAAAACACATTCATATATTAAACAACTGACCAATGTTACACAATGGGCAAATGTCATGGTACAAAGAAATACAACATATACATACGTTATATCTTACACTACTTACATGGATAGTTGCCTGTGGTGGCACAGAAACTACATAATATAAGCCCTTGACAAGAGTTGACTTCAGGTATATGATATTTAGAACTTTAACAGGTGGTTTACAACCTTTGGGTCTTAACATGTGCAACACAGTCATGAGTTGAATTCTTACTGATAAATTTCTTAAGTCATGGATAGTGTCAAAAACTGCATGCTGATGATTTTCTCAAATCAATATCTCTTCTTGTGTTTAACATCTTGAAAGACAGAGTCTTTGATATCAATTGACGGTACTTCCTTAAGCTTACACTGTACTGCACAAGTGTGTGGGAAAATGTTGAGAAGTTTCTATTCCAATTCCTTGATTGCACATATGGAAAAAAAATTAAATCATTGCAGAGCATTTACAGGGCCTGAGCTATACAAATAAGTAGCTACTGTACGTCAGCAAGCAAAATAATACAAAGTTAACATTTTGCACACAATATGTGCACTGTCACAAAGAAGCATTACTGTAACAATGTCTTCCATTTTTGACAACATCTTAACCCAAAATCTAAAAAAACATAATAATTAAACTTTGGTAAAGAACATTGCAGGATTACATAATATTGCAAAATATTTTGATAACAGCCATATGATTGCCACACATTTACAATTCTCAAAGAAATTGTATAACCCTAAAGCAACAATTATAATATTATATACATAATACAGTTTATAAAAAAACTTTTTGTTATACAAACAGAAATCTGATTGAAGAAATAGAACATTTTAGCCTAGAGGCTACATGTGTAGCCTAGCCTATCACTGTGACTGAGGTGTAGTATAGTTACAGTACTGTACTGTATAAGTACCAAGGTGAAGTAATGCTGTGTGTCAAAAAAGACTGTAAAAGTACCAGTAATGCTGTGTGAAAGAAAATGTAAATTTAACATAATCTAATGCTGTGTGACAAAGAAAATTTAAAACATAATGCTGTATGTCAAAGAATATGTAAAAGTCTGTCTAACTTTACACAATCTATATTTGGTGAAAGAAATGAGGTATGTTCTGGAATGTGGGATGTCATTCGGATCCTACATGTATTGTCAGAACTGTGTGTTGGAGCATGGAGGTAAAAAAAGATATCTCTTCTACCTCCATGGTTGGAGATAGTGCTCCTTGGTTTAAGTCAGAATTGTGTGTTGGATATCGTGCTCCTTGGTTTGAGTCAGAACTACGTGTTGCTCCTTATGTCAGAACTGTGTGTTAGAAATGGTGCTCCTGGGTTTCGCCAGGCTCTCGTAAGGGGGAGGGTACATCCTGGGTGTGGTCGTAGGTGAAAGGTCAGGGTTGAAGGCGCGGAAGCGGTACTCCAGCTTGGTGTCCGCTGTTCCTCCTCGGACCAGCTCTCTGTGCAGCTGCTCAGCCTGATGGAACAGAAAGGTTAAACCAACATGTAGCCTGGTGTCTGAACCTACAATGTACTTTTGTTGAAAAGGCTCTTTTGTTCTCTCCGTAAAAATAGTGGAGAGGATGAAAGAGGTTCGGCAAAAGCTAAAATATATTGTAGGTTTGGACCTCAGGCTAAGTGTATCAATGTTAGTGTTTAAGTGAGGGTACTGTCACATTCATAGTACATGTAGGCCTTTGATTTTGATGTCAAAGAATTTTCCAGCAGGTTGTGACAGAACCTACCATTGGCAGGAATCAGATCTATGACAGCCTTTCTGATCCAGTAAGAAGAGGGACAGCTGAATTTTGTTCATCACACTTGCATAATCATCTCAAGATAATCCTCAATTTGCCAATGTAGGATGTAGGTTACTGGGACCTCAGGGTATTATATGATGATATACGATATGAATCTTTATGAAAGTTTGAAGTTAAATATATCAACTCCATGTCTTTTTGTGCAATTCTAAAAAGTTATAATAAAATAATGCAGCTGTATCTTCTTAGTTCAATACCCCCCCCAAAAAAAAGACTCATCTGTGCGTACAATTTCCAGGTCTTTCCTGGCCTGCTCCAGGTCTTCCTTGGCGTCTCCCTTGTGTTTCTGCCTGTCCTGAAGTTTGGCTGCGTGCTCCTTGATACGCCTCTGCAACTCTATGTCACGGGCAGTTCTAGATAGGCATGAACAAAAGAGAATGTACTGACCAATCTTAGTTCTTCATCTAGTATGTAATATATGTCTGTTCTTTCATTGAAGTCTTCATCGAATACCGGTGTTACTGACTTACTGAAAATAACATACAGTGTACAGTATGTTTGATTGGCTTGCAACTGTAGTCGACCTTGATATATTCTTCAGTTGGCCAGAAATATATGCCATGGAGGAAAATGTCTAGGATATATTTTTCAGATTTTTATGTAAGTGTTGCAGACTACAATTAGAAAAAGATTCACATTATCCAGAAATGCATAACCAAGGTGAACTTTAACCGAATGGCAATGGGCATAAGCATATGGAAGTGGCCATTTAGCTACCTATTAGTTACAGAGTTAGGCAGCAGGGACAAGGTTAAAATACGAGGAACTTACTTGGCCCTTTCAGCGGCTTCCCTGGATAGTATCTGGTTGATCCTGTCCTGCTGGGCTTTGGTGTCTCCCTGCATCCGCTCCTTCCTGTCCACCATCTTCATGTGGGCAGTGTCCACACCATACGGCATCTTCAGGGGCTTGTGGTCTACAGAAAAATGGAAGTCGAATTAAAAACAACCCCAAAACAACAAATTGACATAATTTTATACAGTTGCTGAGACTCTAACCTGCAGGGGTATTGAATTTGCTGTGCCCAAGAACCACAGGACAGAGGCAAATGGCGAGATACATGTATCATCAAGCCCCAGCATCAGAGTGCAAGCATGTCTAACCCTCAGAACACGAGGAACAACAGACATTAAACCAGATAGAGAGAGCTACATGTATTCTTTGATTGAGTCTGCAGAGGCTTGTGGTCTGCAGAAAAATGGAAGTCAAAATGAAAACTACAATCAAATGGAGCAAAGAGTCTAAAGATGTTAGCTATGTGACAATAACAAGAAACACTTTTTTCCTATCAGTATGCTCAAAATCTGTTCACTGCTAGAGGTGCTGTCCTTGGTGCTGATAGAGTTATGTCTTCATGTTATCGAAGGCACTGTATTCTGTTCTTTACCAGAATTTGCTGCTACTTCTGGGAAGTATGGAATGATGCTATTAAGTGCTGTATTTTAATGGCATTATGCCATTTACCTTTCTTTACAGAGCTGAGAAACTGCCTCATCTGCATCCGTTTGCCCTTGTCTCTCCAGTCTTTCAGCAACTGTTGGTCCCTGGAATACAAGAGTCTGGTTTGACACAGCATTTACAGTACACCAAAGGACTTCTCACACGCATAATACACCTTGTCAATAGATCAGAAAGATGTACACAGCACACATAACTGCAGATACAACTTACCTTTACTGTGATCAATGTAAGTCAGGGTTTAGCTGCAGCATTTAAGAAGTTATGTTTTATTTTGTCTTTACAATGTTGGTAATAATGTCCTTAGGACATAACAAAGTGGTGATTGGCAGGAATGGGTAAAAAGGAAAAATACAGTCTCTATTTGATCACCAACAAATCCACAGTCTTCAGGTTTTTCAGTGAATGGTGTGAATTTTTTGCTGCCACTAATTCTGTCATCACTACCCTTCTGTAACTCCAATCACAGGCCTAGATAACAACACTGCAACAAGGGAATTGTCCTCAAAGTTTTGTAACACTTGTGCTTTTTCTTCACTCTCACAGGGTGTCCGAGTCTTATAGAAAGATCTGAGATTACAATCATCTGTATATCATGCTGGTCCTACCACTTATGAGGGCATGACAAGATGTGCTGTCCATGTTTTAAAGTACTATTAGCCAAACAGAAATTTATAGTATGTAACCGTATCTGATAAATGATCAAGAGTCAGAGATGTAAAAAAAATGTTTTATTGAATCAAACCTTCTCACACACAATACAGAAACACTGAACAGGTCCACAACATTGTACAGCGTTGTTACAATACCAACTCTGCCACCCTGTCTAACGTTACACTGTGAGCATACACCCTCAGGGCAGAAGCATTTGAAAGCTGGATGAACAATGCAACACCGAGAGTCGTGTGCTCTGTGTTACGTTTCCTACACAGGGAGGCAGCGGTTGGCATGTATCGTGTGTGTGAAGGAAAGATCCAACAAAGCACTGGTGAGCTCTCAGTGTTAGATTATTCATCAATTTTCAAATAGTTCTGCCCTCAGCTTACGATGATATCACTACTAGCACTGTAGAATTACAATTACATGTATATCAAAATGGCTTACACTATCACAACAAAAAATTAACACTGATATAAATTTGTAACCGGATTTTGTACCAGGATATTGTTTGTATGAGGGTGGATGTATGGATCATAATCAAAATTGAATTATGTTAATACTTGATGGCAGTCAGGTAGGTCTATTAAGCTTGCTTTTCCACAAAGCTCTTTAGTTTAAAAAACATACTTTCATCTAATACCTTGGCTTTCAAATGTTCTACTTTTAGAAAAGTTTTGTACACCTCTATGAAAGTTAATCTCTGTTGGCGATGCAGCATTTGAAACTTTTTTGCAGCAAAGGTACATGTAAGCTACTGGTATTACATACCAGCTGGCAATATCTCTCAAATCTTCTTTCAAAAATACATGATTTTCTGTTATCTACAAATGTTGATGTTTCACTATCTTCTAGTTACAATTTATCTATTTCAACAATTATACAAGAAATATCAAATCTCGCTGTAAAAATATGGCTCTACTGTCATATGATTCACTCATTCCAAAATTTTAAACACAATCTCAGATGGCACTCCACTATAGCAGCAAACAGCAGTTTTGAGGTCACAATTTGGATCATAAACTGCATTTTATCAAAACTCAAACAAGTTTCCCTACACAGGCTGTTAAGGTTGTCAGGTTTAAACTCACTATGGCTTCAGAATCTCATTGGCAAATCTCTAGTAACCCCTGTCAAAAATTCTCTCCATTTAACTCTTAATAAGCACCTCTGAACTTGCTGGTACACCCATCTTCTTCTATCTTCTATCTTCTATCTTTCTCTCATGTGCACAGTACGTTTCATGAGTTAAAGGTGGTATAAGACTTTGCCGAAGTTGTTGACACCATATCATATCATTATCTATGTCGATGAAGGTTAATCAATTGTTACTCAAGCAACTGGATAATATTATGTTTTGAAAACGTATCCCGTTGCTTGACTAACAATTTCCTTGTGCATATCATTGGCTAGATCAGAAAGGCTTGAGCAGTGACTTGACCCACTTCCACATGTAAGAAGGGTCAGTCTGAGAATATTTTCCTCCAAAAGAATCATTTCTATCCCCACAGCATATGTGGTCCAAATCACAGTGTAGGGGGCCTTATACTCAAACAGCCTAGTGAGAACCTTGCATTGGCTAAATGATCATGATCAGAAAGGCTTGAGCAGTGACTTGACCCACTTCCTGCGCTGCTCGATGAGGGCCTGCTTCTCCTTCAGTTCCCGCAGAGCTGCCAGGCGGCGCTCCTCCGCACGCTTCGCGTCCAGAAGGTCGATCATCAGCGGCGACGTCGACCGCTTCTTTTTCCTGATTTTTTAATCAGAGAGTAAATTTTGAATGAAAGCTCATCTGTGTTGGTAGAATCCATAGCTGCAAAGTTCAATCTTCCAACACAAGAAGGGAACTCACCATTAATTTTCGGTCAATCTCGTCAACCTTCATCAGATGTACATGTATGATGCACCCGCTGACTCTCCAGAAGTCGGAAGCATGACGAAGGTTGACGAGATCAATCAAAAGTCTATGGTGAGTTTGGTCCCTTCTTGTGTTGGAACTAAGCTTGAACTTTGCAGCTAAAGAGTAAATTTGAGAGGATGGATCATTTCATATTGAAGCAATTAATCCACACACAGGGATAGGCTGTTAAAGGTTGTTACGTTTTAACAACAAGTTTCTCCTTGCACAGAACACCCTACCTTCCCTTCTTGGCCTCCCCCAACAGCCCGGCTCTCCTGAACTTATCGTACTGCTGCTGTCTCAGCTCGCTGTAGCTGGCTGGCTTGTGCAGCGCTGCAGGCATGGGTGTGGGACCGTGCATGTGCATGTGTCTGGCCAGCCCAGCCTTGGACACAGAAGACTCCCTACTCGGGAGGACTTTGTCAGAGCCGAGATCTCGCAGCTCGGGTTCGGACGACTGGTTGCCGTCTTCGGACTGATTGTCGCTGTCGCTGTCATTCAGTGTCAGCTGTTCAATGAGAACCCCTGCAGGAGTAGTGGAAGTAGTCAGTCTGTACATTCAAATGTTTTTGTAATGAAGTATTATTAGTAATATTTGATGTTACATGTACTATTCATTGTTTCAGTGATCACAAAATGATGGTACAAAATACGATTATGAGCAAATCATAATGTCCACATACAAGTGACAATTATGATACTGTTAAGATTGACTATCAATAGAGCTTTAATCTTCAATCATTATGATACATATTTAAGATATAATTTAACATCAGGTCTGAAAAAAGTACTTGTAATCTCCAGGCAGATTTTTGGTGGCAGCAAAGATGTATCAAACTGGCCAGGCCACAAAAAGCAGAAGCCTAAACCTTCGCTTGTACTAAGTTGTAGCAATGGTGCACAAGTATGCAGTTGTATGTTGTTTTATCATTCATGAATGGTATTACCTTTAGCCAGGGCGTCCTCTCTCTTCCTAGCCTCCATGGCGTCTCTCAGGTGCTGCAGTATCGCCAGCGTGCCCTGTTCCATCACAGCAGGCGGCGGAACATGCAGGGGATTGTCTCGCAGGTTCAGGCCCTTCAATGTCATTACTTGGCCTGATGGAACAAAGCAATGTCAGAGCTCGAAATACTTTTTCCTGCATACTTGCACTGGTGCAGGTAACACCAAAAATCACCTGTACCAGACAAATTTTACCTGCACCATTCCAAATTTTAGAGGTATGGATTACACTAAAAGTTGTTAAGAAACCACTGCCATTATTTTGAACTTCTGTATCAAAAAAAGGATATTGATATTGAAACTCGATATTGAATTTGGTATATTAAACAAAATCTTACCAAGTTCCAAGGGTAATGATGTCAATTCATTCCCTTCTAGTAGCAGAGTTTTAAGGCACCTGGAACAGAAAAAAGACTTGTATTACGGTACAAAATGTACAGAATCATAAGTTGCAACTAACTTACAACCAATTAGAGATATGCTTTATTAACTTTTGAGCTCTAAGCTGTTGCAAACTGTTAACAGGTTAAGTAACAGGTGTTTGCATGTGTCTACCACTACAGGTAGACATTGAAGGCAACCACCTGTCAACAAACAGCGCAGTCACGCATGCCTCCCCACTGGGGGGCTGTTTCAACCAGCCAAGCTTGACCTCCCAGTGTCGCTGCTTCAGTGCCGTTGTCTTGGAAACCATGGCGGGAGTTTGTTGACTCAAATAAGCTTCGTGCACCCGAATTACGCACAGATAAGTAGCTAACCTGGCAAGCAAATACCACATGCAAATACATTTTGGGGCTTAGTAGTAGACTTTGAGACTGAATTTGTTGACAGGTTGTTGAGAAATCAAACACACAGTGACAGTGACGCCACTGTTAAGTTTAAGTCCATGGTGTACGAATGTGTTTGGCCTGGCAATGTTGCCTACACATGTAATCCCAAAGTATAGCACACCAAAAGCTAGTTCCTTCTTCTCCTGCAATCATATATATATAATATAGTTGTACAATACACGGTCTTACCAAATGATAAGAATGGAGGGAAAATATAAATATAACAGAAATAGTCAAGCATTGCACCATTAGTTTTAAGTATATACGTATATAGCTGGTTACCATCCTGGTTAGTTTACATTTACATCCATTCCAACAGTCGCTACCGACCAACCAGTCTGGAATCGCTGCCGGGCAGACCATCTGGAAATTATTCAAATATTTGTCCAGATTTTGTGTGAGATCGCTGATCAGCCCTTTCTGTATGGGTCCCTACTCCCCGGCTAGAGGGTAGCAACTGTGGGAGCAAACTTCTTGAACGGCTAATTAATAAGTACATGTATTTAATTTATATACCTGTGGCTCCCCACAGTAGCTGGGAGATGTTTGAGTCTGTTTCTTCTCAGGTCGAGCCACTTCAGGTTGGGTAAGTACGTGAAGAAGTAGTCGGGTATCTCAGAGAGGTAGTTTCCTTCCAGGTAAAGGTACTGCAAAAGAAGGACAGGTATGCGTCAGTGAAGATTAGACACAGTGTCACTGATGAAATGATGCCACCTGAAACGTCTGACCATTTCCAAAATCGTAGCCAGTTGCTTGGGTAACATTATTAAAATTGTCTTTTTTTAACATATATGTATCGAACCAATCCATCAATACTTCCTATATTAAACTTACCAGTACTTCCCAGCACTTAAATGTACTGGGTTACGACTGCAATATTTTGCGAAGATGTCCATCAATGCTGAAAATCAAGAACTAAAAATCTCTAAGCATCTTATGAGGAATTCAAAATAATGATAGCTAAAATAAGAAATTCTCAAAAACTCTGCATTTTTTTCATAGAGGAATGAGATCTTCGATTAATTGTTGTGAAATTGTATGTGAATGGCAACTCTCCAAACATCTGCTTGGAGATTAAAAGATTAACTTAATAGCTATAACTAAGTATAAGAGGATATCAGTGAACGGAGTCGTTTTACATTTCAATGGGCACCTATCCACGCCTGAACAGCGATCAAAGCTCCCGACTTGTCCTTTCCGCAAGACCGGCAGGACACAAAGGCAACCATGTCGGGGCGTAAACAACAACGAGTAAGGCACTCCACTGGCTGGTACAAACAAAACAAACTACACTGGTTACCACCTGCAACGAATTACTCGTTAAGTATCGTGGCTTAATACAGTACGTTAGTCTACCTCAAGGTCTTGCAGGCGGAAGATTTCATCAGGTATGCTTGTCAGCTGCCTTCTGGAGAGATCCAGCGTGTCTGCGCCCAACGCTTGAGCGGAAGAAATCAGATTCTTCACCATGTCGGAGCCCCTCCTCCCACCGCCGCTAGTGGCCCGTTCGCGAGAATCGCCCGCCATTTCTCCAACCGCAACCGGCCCAAAACCTCCGAAGAGCCGGCTTGCCGAAACTGCGAACCAGTCCAAATCGCAATCAGAGTATTCAGACTACCGTGAGACATCTTCTGAGTCCCTCTGAGTCTCCATCGCCTTCTGCGGAACGCATACTGCGGATAATATTGCACGAAAAGTTTGAAGAGTAACACACAGTGATTGGCAGGAGTTATTCAAAATGGCGGCCCCGTGGTCGACTCGATTACACCGTTACTATAGAGATGACCTTTACCCTCAGTAATAGCATGTCTCTTTTTGTCATTTTAGCACCAAATGGTTCGTTTCACACATTTAGAATGGGCTGTGTAATGTAGTTTTGTTGCTGGTGTATACAGAGGGATGTTATGACGCCTGTTTATATGCAAAATATCTAAATATCCGGGGGTCAATCAGGAGTCGACCAATCAGATTGCTTTGGTGTATATCATTCTATTGTAGGGTCCAATATACTTTTGTTATTTTTATTATACTATATTGAAACCATAATTGTATAAAATACATCGAAATTTAATCTTATATAGTGAATTATATGACTAACTAACTTTACATTGTTTGTATATTATACTTAAAACAATAATTTGGAGACAAGATTGGACTAGGTTACCTCTAATCGGATGGTTTGTTCTACACAAAGTTACAAATACTAGCGCGGAGGCGGAGGTGCACAGCAGATACTCAGTCGATGTGGAGGTGTGTACCACTGTTGGCGTTGATATAGAATTGCCAAAACAGGAAAATCAACTATTAATCTCTGCTGGGCAACCGACTCTTCTAGAAAGGTAAGGTGTGGTGCTTTTTGAACAAAAATACGCTCGGCCTTTTGTTGCAGAAATAGTTAAATATTGTCATTTCCGCAAATATGGGGTGACCCTCTTTGGGCCAGGGTTTGCTGAAACGTGCGTGCTTTCAGATTGTTTTTCTTCTTTTATCGATGTTTTCCGTCCTTCTCTGTCGACGCTTGCTAATTTAAATAGGGCATACTTTGCATGGTATCGACCTGGGAAAAAGAAGTAAGCCTCAGGTTTTCAGCTAGGGTGGCTAAATATTCCTGTTTCGAAGGTACTTGTTGATCTTATCAAATGCAAGTGCAAATGTATATAGACCGTACTTATGTTGTTCCGTTTTTGTTATCTTTTACTGATAGATATCAATTTTTAGATAATACTTTGTGTGTTGTCGTCCATTTTGATTCAATTGTTTTGCAGGGGATCGGAATACTGATGTACTTTTTTACGACATAATTTGCAGGATATACATTGTATTGTTGTTGACTGCCATTCAATAATAAATTCATATCAACTGTGAATTCAGTTTCTGGATACCAAAGTCCCATGCTGTTATCTGTCATACATTGATTGTCATCTTTGTAGTATGGTAGCAATTTTCCCCATATCACCCCATGAGGTCACAAGGCCAAAGAAATTAAATTTCTTGTTGACCCTCCCCTGTTCCATATTCTTCTTCTCTTCTTCTTCCTCCTCTACGTGACCGCTATCATCATGTCGATCATTCTGTCACTTAGGGGAGAGGTCATCAGCCAAGAATTTAGAGGCTCTTGCCACAAATGTTTCAGTATTTGTGGCTTCCACTGCTATTTGAGGTAAAGAGTTCCAGTTTTTGACTGTCCGTGGCAGGAACGACGCTGCTCTATACTGAGTTCTGCCCCAAATATTTCCAAATATTACACTGTATTAACATTACAAATTGTAGGTTAACCAAGAGTACAGCCAAAGACAATTCGCCCTTTGAATACGATGAATCCACGAAACAAGAAATCACATTTTTCTGGCCTGATACTAGGCTGTAAAAAGATTGGACCCCAGTATGATTTAAGGGCTTCTGGCACTCCCACAGACACACAGAATAATTTGCCAGGCTTAGCTCAAGGCTGGATGGAAATGAAAGGAAAGTCGTGTCCTTTTCCAATAAATATGGTCGGCGAAGATTAGCCGCCTTGTTTGTACCGTGTTCCTTCCTTCGGGCTACGTTTATTTTCTGATGATGTTACTATTTTCTGCTTGCTGGGTGTTCCGACTAGGGAGATAACAGCCATTTATTACAACAGATGCACATGCAGAGAGGAAGTACATTATGCGTACATGTAACGTTTACATGCGCTTAAATTTATAACATTTGAATTGTCGCTGATTTGAGGGATATAACTGGATGGTCCCAAAATGACTTGACTTGACTTTATTAGGATCCACACTTAGCTTACAACAAATGTAGCTATTCTTCCTGAGGTCCTTCAAGACACACATGACACATTTACAAAACATAAATACATCGGCAATTACAACATATTAAAACAGATTAAAATAAAGCTATATACATGTACATCATCACCACTTCATTTCATTCCAGGCACTGGACATTCTATACAAAAATCTTCTTTTCTGTGCATTGTTCGAGGTTTAGGAAGGCGGATGCTAATCTTCTGAAATTCCACCTTAACTTCTTAAATGTTGGTGAATGATCATCAGTAATTGGGCAAAGATAAACTTACTTCCATCCTGGACTCAAATATTTGGCCAACTAGTCTTCAACGACCTCATACTAGTCACAGAAGATTTGAGGACAGAAAAAAAACAATTTGATCTGTTGTCTAAAGAAATTGGGAATGATTTGTTCTCGCCAGCTTTTATCACCATAAATTGGTTGGTCATAAGATGTATTTGGGTCATAGCTGGTACATCTATATATACGCTTCAGATGTTTGTGGTTTGAGCAATTATTGCTCATTTAAGGGACCTAACAACATCATACTGTGCCAGCCTGCAAATGGTTGGGACAAAAAGGAAGCACACTAATGCCTGAAGCTGTTGGGTTTGTTTTCAGATACCTTCGCCAGCAGGTTTCATATGCATGAATGACAGAGGAAGTTTGCATGATGTGAAAACAAAGCTGTTAAGGGCATTCTTTATTTGTACATTCATTCATTGACTTTGGTTGACTTGCTGTGAATGGCCGTTGACGTTTCACAAATATTGCCATCCAAAAATGTATACAATCCTGCACTTGTGTACGTATACTGATCATTTGTTATCCTGCAAACTGGCCATTTCTAAGAGCAGATATATAGTAACAGGGCTCAAAATTCCTTTTTTGGGGGGGGGGGGGATAATGTCAGTAAAACAAGAAGAGAGATGAAAGAGGGCTATTGTCCAGAGTTCCAGGTATAGTCTAGAAGTTAAGGTATAAAGTCACAAATTTGGTGAAGTGACTGTCAGCTCCAATGTTGGGTGCACTTTTTAATCTCTGCAATACCAAGTCTCAGCTTAGCAGCTGTCTCAAGTTAACACTGTTCAATACCATGCACTGAGGTGGCAGTTAACACTTAAATTTATGTCAGACAGGTCCTTGAGAGTTGAGAGTTACAAATTGCTTGCCGGTACTTTGAGCAGGTCTATGAACATCTTCCAGATTTTGCCAACCCTGGTCACATTTCTCCTTCTGCATCATCATTAAATCCAATATGATAAGTGGCCCTCCTTGATTACGTACGGTCCCAAGACAATAATTTAATCAAATTAAGGCCCTGATTAGAATGAGAATCTGAACCTGTACATTCGTGTTTTTAAACAGTCCCTTGAACCTTTGCCAATACATCTGATTCTAAGGAGCTGAATATAATATGATATTATAGTATGTTGTATACATGTCCTGGGGTCATCAAATAAAGCTGGTGAGTTTCCTTTTACAAAACTAAAATGAATACAAATTAATCAAGGCACATTTCACCTGTTTGTGCATGCACTGCTAAAGCATTCTTGTAATGATCGATCATGAGTTTACAGATCTTTTGAAGACTTTATGATTTACCTTTAAGTGATAGGATCTGTACCTTTTTACTAGTACTCCAAACTGTCTACATCTGACAACTACTAGTAGCCAGACTGATTCACAAAGGTGTTTCAGCCAGAAACTCTCAGACTGATACTAGTGATAGTCACATCTCAGAAATTACTACCAGTGCCTACGGATTTAAAATGTTTAAGTGTAACATTCAATGGTGATGACACCAAAAATACACATGAATGTAATATTTTTTTACCGGTATTTCAATCAAATTGTTCCATGAAAATTTGCAATTGCCAAGATTTAATTTGCCCCCAAAGTCCAATTATAGAACAGAGCTAGAATTTATGGTTACCACAAATGTGGCATTACTGTATCATGCACAACTCATTATTCCACGATAGGTTGGAACAAACCCTTAAACCAACACAAGGCAATCTCATATGCAAACCAATGTCAGAAGTCTTATAGCCAGATCCATGGCGATCAAAAGTAATAAATGCAATCAACATTCTTCCATGCAATCCAGCACGCCCTGCCCTCTGAGCGTTGTCTGAACTGTAACTGACTCTCATTTTCCGTCTTTTTGTCTCTCCCGCAGGACCGGCGAGGTCAGCACGTGTTCCGCCCATTTAGGGCGGCGTAATAACATCAATGGCGAGGGATGACTGCGCGCCGCCAAGTCATTTCCTACGTCGGAGGCGCTAAAATCTACGGGGGGAGGAAAAACCCACACAAGCGGGAAATAAGCTGAGAGATTCTCCAGTAGTGATGAAGGCAAGTGATGGCCCGCAGCAGATTTTTACTGTTGCGCTCCTAAAAACAACATCCTTGTGATGTGAAGAGCTCAGTTTACCTTCCAGACCTTTAGAACTGTTTACTGCATTGCGAAGTGCAGCCTTTTGAGTGAAGGCTCTATTGCAGAGGAGATGCAGCAGTGACTCTGTGATCTATTGGGTACAGGTGGGACTAAAGGACTGTGTAAACCGAAGCTGTCAAGGCTGCTTACATGCGCAGACCAGGGATAGCCTCTCAGGAATACTGGCGTAATCTTGGTACAGTGGAGGAGGAGGGAGAATACATCACGGGGAGTATCTATACTAGTGCTGCAACAGGCAGGACTACGGGAACATTATGGGTCTGGGTCAGTCTGCCAAGAAGAAACCCTGTGATCTCAATGGAGAAGGTAAGGAATTTTGGAAAACATTTTGATGTTGTTTATCTTTATAACTTAATATATAACTATAAGTCTTGTGTCTTCAGTTTTTTAGTCGTTGGTGTACTTGGTACACACGTAGATGATAGATAGTAAATGGTCATCATGTAATAGAATAATAACTGTCTTATTTGTAGTTTATCTTTTGTACACAAAATCCATTTTCCTGCATACCTGCACCGGAGCAGCTAACAATTTTAAAATTACCCACTCCATAATTTTACCTGCACCACTTAGAATTTTGAAAGTATGAATCACACTAAAAACTGTCCAGAAACCATTGCCATTATTTCTTTCATACTTCATGTGTGGTACTGTAACAGAAAATACAGCAAATAAAAATCCACAATTTTTACAATCAATCAATATATACATACACCTAGTACATGTACATGTTCATTTATTCATGTAAACCCAGTACATGGACCAGTTCAACAGGTTAGGTGCAGGTAGATATCAGAAATACCTGCACAGCTCCAATTTCACCTGTACTAACCTGCATATACAGGTGGTATTTCCAGTGCTGACTCGATAATGCTAAAAAAACATCTAGATATGCCTAGATGATACCTGACTATTATTACCGTATTGATTTTTCCTACCCACATCATGTTTGTAGGAAAGATCATTATTGAGGCTGTCTGTTATCAGACGTTATGAAACATTGATGTGTTGCGAATCTTAGGTTTAGGTAATTGCCATTAAATTGCCACATAATTAGTTTACATACCGTAATGTTCATATGCCCGTCAGACTGTTTCCTATAATGACTAGCTATATGCTGTGTATTTTATTTTTATTAGCTATTGATCATGACTGACATCGCCAAAGAAGTGGAAAAGAATTATACAATCGTAGAAAATAAAAATGGATGACAAAAATTACTATCAATAAGAATATACTAGTTTACCATGACTGTATAATTCAGCGTGACTACCTAACTGGATGTTTGTTTAGTTGTCTTTCATTCTGGAATATAGTCTTGAGTCTTGACATTGTCCATTGAAAATTACCTCAATAAAAATAACATCTGACTTTTATTCTAAGGTAATTGCAGAGGTAAGGACATATGAATTTTTTTTTTTTGCATTCAGAAAATGTACACAATGTATATTTGTATTGAATTATTTATACATTGTAAAACAATAAATATTACACATACTAGTAATAGGTCTGATAAACGTCTACTCCTGTGCTTGCCACAGAGCTTACAACTATTAAGAATACTAAAGCCGATTTGAAGAATTCCAATAAAAATATTCTGTGAAAGGCCATGTAAAGGGCCTGACATGCTTGGCTCATTGTCAAGATTGTCTATAAGTGCTCTCAGTCATTAGACTTCACCAAGCCTTTCTTCTTGGAACTACCTTTACAAAGTTTACTGTAGGCCAAGTTAAAGCAGTCTGAGTTTTAAACATTACCCCAACTTCCTAGTACATTAAAGTGTTGCTGATATCCATATATTAGCAGCATCTTCTGTAGTTTATGTTCTAAAGGATATTCACGTGTCTATATCATTAGACTTCACCAAGCCTTTCTTCTTGGAACTACCTTTAGGCCAAGTTAAAGCAATCTGAGTTTAACATTACCCAACCTTCCTAGTACTACAAAGTCTTGCTGATATCCATATATATGTATTTTAGCAGCAGTTTATATCCAAAGGATATCCGCGTGTCTATAATACTAGTATGTACATATCTGTTTTGTACCGTACATTCTTCTAGCAATCAATTAGTGGTAAAAGTATGGTGGTTTGACTGAAAGCAGGTACTACTAAGTATGTCTTATGATGTACATGCCCTGTGCAAGGTTGCATTTGTGCATCTCCACTATAACCTCCTTGGTTGGTGGAAGGTATTAGAGTGTTAATATCTTGAAATGTTTTGTTTCTTGAAAATTTAATTAATGGTGATTTTTTTTCAAGGTTTTTGCAGTTACCTCTCCACTGCAATTTCATGATTATAATACCACAAATACATGTATGTATTTGAAATTTACTGTACTACAGAATTGTTTCAACCTCAAACTAATGAGTTCCTTCTGCAAAATCAGTAGGACCACGCTGTAAAAATAATAACTGAAAATTATTTTATGTACAGTCACTGTGTTAAGAAACTGGCAACCTAGTCCCTCTATGCTGTAAATTGTATCAATAATTCACATCTCTCCAGTGTTTATCCTCCCTGCCCGTACATGTATATAACAGCTAAGCAGGATTTAGACAATCTGATTAGGGGGATCAGCTGCATGTGAGCGCTGGAAACATGATTGGTCACTGCCAGATCTGTGATGATGCGACAAGCTTCAGCCTCAGGCATCTACAGATAAAGGTGCCTATCTGTGGTGCTTTATTGAGTTTACGCTAAGTCTCCCTTGCTTGGGTCTTAAAACGGCAGCCAGTTTATTATTATCCTTATCCAAAAAAATGGCTGTATTATACGTCGATGAAGGTTAGACTTCCAGGTAATATGATACACCAAAAAGCAGTTACTCAATTCCAAGCAACTGGATCCAAATCCAAAATCATATCCAGTTGCTTGAGTAACTGCTTTTTGGCGTAAATGACTGACTTTTCTGATTGTCATGTTTCTACAGAAGTCTTATCACAGCATCAGTGTCATCAACAGCTATGACAAGGAAGACTAAGTACATACATGAAGCTGGTACATGTATCTTCCTTCCCTCAGGACTGTTCTATTTCAATTTTAAAGAAATTTGGGAGAGGGTCTGCTCTTTTCTCTGAGACAATTTTATGGATGTTCTAGAAACATGGGGCATAACATTGTGATCTTATAATTCATCCAAGTACAGAACTTGACTGTACTATTTCTAAAGACCTAAAATCTATTCTTTCATTTCTATACTTAAAACTTTTTTTCTACCACCCCTTCCTAAGAATGTTCATGGTACAGCCCTCAGTACAATATAGCAGTAGGAGGGTAGGACAGGAAAGCCTATATATAGCATGTAATGATATCCTTGATTCAGGTTTGATTGGTGGCTGTATCATGTCCTTGGTGCGGAAAAGGCCATCCGGTGGTTCCAACTCATAAACTTAGATACATGTAGCTGGTATCTTCCTTCCCTCCGGACTATTCTATTTTAATTTCAAAGGAATTTTTGGGGAGTTCTCTGAGATATTTTATTAAGAGTCTGGAAACATGCGGCATAACATTGTCCATTTATCCAAGTACAGAACTTGACTGTACTATTTCTAAAGACCTAAAATCTATTCTTTCATTTCTATCATCAAACCTTTTCTTACCAACCCCGACCCTAAGAATGTTAATGGTACAGCCGTCAGTACAATATAGCAGTAGGAGGGTAGGACAGGAGAGCCTATATATAGCATGTAGTGATATCATTGAATCCAGCTTGATTGGTGGCTGTATCATGTCCTTGGTGCTGAAAAGGCCATCCCATGGTTCCAGCTCATAAACTTAGATACATGTAGCTGGTATCTTCCTTTCCTTAGGACTATTCTATTTCAATTCCAAAGGAGTCTTGGGGGGAGTTCTCTGAGATATTTTATAAAGAGTCTGGAAACATGCGGCATAACATTGTGACCTTTATTTATCCAAGTACAGAACTTGACTGTACTATTTCTAAAGACCTAAAATCTATTCTTTCATTTCTATCATCAAACCTTTTCTTACCAACCCGACCCTAAGAATGTTAATTGTGCAGGCCTCAGTACAATATATAGAAGTAGGAGGAGAGGTGTAAAAAAAGCCTATATATAGCATGTAATCCTTGATCCAGGTTTGATTGGTGGCTGTATCATGTCCTTGGTGCTGAAAGGCCATCCCACAGTTCCAGCTCATAAACTCAGGGCATATAAGGTCGCCTATCGCTGCATGGATTCCCCGAAACCACTTCTTTCCTGCTATTACATTTTAGAAATAACACTGTAAAGGTTGTTGTACTGCATAAATTTATTGGGTAAAAAAATCTGCTTCCTAGAATCCACGTATTCAAGAATTGAACTGCCAGTTAAGTTTTGAACTCTTTTAGCCTGACTTTTTAAGTTTGCTCTATTTTTGCTGTATACTTTAATGGAGTAATGGCCCTTTGCCAAGGTCCATGATACAATACATGAGGCACAGTTCTTATGACTGTATGTGATAAAAGTAGTAACTAATTATTTCCACTTAATCAACAAAATCTCTTTCTGTATCATAATCTATGTGTAATCAGATGATAATTCCGTCACTGATTAATTTTTTGCCTACTGATTAATTTTTTGTCATTGTAGAAGAGGATTAAGACCATATGTTTTTAATGCCTCTTAAAGTTTTGTAGGCAGGTGTTTATGTAACATTTGCCAATCCAACTATACTGTTTTTCGATTACGGAAGCTTAGACTTTATGATCCAAGCTATTACAGAAGTCTGTAAAGCTTTCTGGCATATGGCTTGTATAGGCAGAGGACGTGGCACTAAAATGCAGCATACAAATAAAGTGGTCTTGTGGCGTTGCCTTTGAATCTGAAGGTTTTGGGTTCGATTCCCTATAGCAGACCAAAATTGTTGTGATCTTGGGAAACAACTTTACACCTACATGTGTACATGTATTTGTTCAAACAATTTTAAATCAGATCTAGAGTACCTGAGTGCACAACAATTTTGAACAAAATTACCCCCAGTTTCATTTCATGTATAGTTACTTTTTCTACAGCCAGTAGTCAGCCTAACATGATGTAAGATGATTAGGTACAGTTAAGAGGATTTGTGCTAAATAAGAAATAATGCCAGTGTGCACATTCTCTGCACGTCTTTTGCATATTAATGACAACTTACAGGGAGTGACTATCGTGTATTGCACGTGAGGCTGAATACAGTGGTACTAATTTGAACTCCCATTCACACAGCTGAGGACAATTTTGCAAGATCCACTGATTTGTAGTCAACCCACATTTCCCTGCAGGTAGTCCGTACAATAATTCCGTTTCAATCAGATTTGTTCCAGAT